AAATTGTAAGTGTTAATGCCCTCATCTTTTAATAATTCTTTGAGGCATGTTTCCAGTAACTCATCCGATCCATTCCTTGTTAGTTTTTGTCTCACATCTTTAACAAAACAGAAAGCTCCAAATTCAGCTTTCAGCCTGTCAAATACGGCTCTAGTAAGAGTGGTCTTGTCCATACTGCCCATACCCCATATTCCTAGAATGCGAACTTCACTTAGTAACTCTTCAATTTTCTAAGTCTGATGATCAACCCCAACTAATCCTTCCACATGTAAGGATAACTTGTTATTCAGTTTGCTCAAAATATCTTTGACAATCTTTTTGATAAGTTCATATTCGGGCCTGGCACAAATATAAATTAACAGAATGATTATGTTTAATCCAAAGAAAGAAAACAATGAGTGAAAAATGAAAAGAATTAGCTACCTGATATTCTTTGAATCCCACCCAGATAGACTTGTTGATTTGATTAAAGCATTTCTCCACTCCTGCACTCTTTCTCGGTTGTGCTTTGATCTCTGCTTAAGCTTAGCAAATCCATCTCCAAAACTCCCATTTTGTTTCCAAACATTTGATGGATCTACGTTGTAGAAAATAGGGATGACAATCCTTTGGTATTTATCCCTACATTTCATAATGTGAACGAGCTCGTCCATACACCAAGTTGAAGAAGCATAATCTTTGGAGAAAATAATTAAAGATATCTCTGATTCTTCTATTGTTTTCAAGAGAATTGGTGAGACATGATCTCCTTTTTGGAGCTTGTGATCCATAAAAGTTTGAATGTTTGCTTTGCAAAGTGCTTCATAGAGATAACTTGAGAAAGTCTCACGGGTGTCCTCTAAAGCTAAGAAAGACGTCATACTTGGTTGTAGGAGGAGCAAAAATGATATGAGAAGTAGAAGAAACGGTCGAAATCGAATCAACAACATCTTTACAACTACAGATAGAAAGAATTCATGAATAATAAATATTAATTGGGCAATCAACAAGCCATATAAAGTGAACATTTTTATTTTTAACCCAAAAAAAATGTGAACATTTATAGAAGATGTTACCTATCATCAAGTGAAGAGATTAGTCTGATGGCTTTAGAAATTGCTACAGCCAGCAAAATCAATACAGCTTCTATGAGCATTAAAGCAACGGTTGCATCCATGTGAGTGATTCTAGTTTCTTGCTTCAACCTTAAACTAATGCTTCTTTTTGGGCTTTACCTTCTCCGGGGCTGGTAAGGTTTAGCTCTTGATGATTAACGTGATAAAAAGAGCAGGAAAAATATTTAGCAAGGGGGACCAAGTTACTGAACTCAAACGATCAACAGCATTTTGATGGATGATTGATGTGCTAAAATGAAGAACGTGTCTTCTTTATGGAACGAACAGTGCGAAAGACTTCATTACGTGGTCAACTATCTCGTCGCCAAGTTTACTTATTTATTTGACGTTTTTTATCACCAACTTTATTTTAAAAAAAGTACATGTGTTGAAGGTGTAGTAGGCCATGTGTTAACGGTTGTTATGCTTTAATTTCTTTTCTTTTTTTTTTTTATCAAAAGAAGTTGGGCTAAATAAATTGATGTGTGTGTGTGTATGATTTTCTTTTTTTTTTTTTTAAAAAATATCTAGTTGAATTATAGGGACTTTCTTCTTTGCCACCTGAATTATAGCGACTTACCTGTAGATAGGAGCTGCGCTTTTGCTATTGTGGCACCATAGCCTAAAATTGTTTTACAATTTTCTATAAAAATACCCTAAAATTGTGCTTTAATTTTATCAGATTTCATATGCTGCATGCCCATACATAGTGTTGTAAATATGGTTATCAGATCTCACGCCTTTATGTTTCAATATCTGCAATTACAGTAAAAGTATAAAAAAAACTGGAAGAATTTTATGCATAATAACGAAATGGGCTTTTTTGATAAAATAAATAAATATGTCGTTTACTTCATTAAAAAAGAAATCTGAATAGAATAAACGAAGAGCTTAGTCAATAGATAAAGTGCAACCATATGTTTGAAGGTTTTAGGACTTCGTTCTTCAGAAGTTAAAGTAAGGTAGCTAAGGAGGAGATTGAATCAACAGCATTAGGAGAGGGGGGGGGGAGATCAAATGGCTTGCAGGCAAAACAGTAGAAGAATGATGGATCAATGGGATAAAGAGAAAGAAATAACCTGGATGTGGATTGTGGAGGGAAGCGAAAGAAATAGCTCTCACAAACTTGAGTCTCAAAAATGGCAACATCGATCATCAGCTCCAGAATTTGCAGAGAATTGGTTTCTCTTCAAACAAGTTGTTCAGGTTCTTCAAAGATCAACAAATGCCTCCCTCACATATTTGTAGTCAACAAGTCAAGTGAAGTCGTGCTGTGTGGATTGCCGGCGTGTTGCTTCATTGTATATAATTTATACCGCACCACCTCTTTGCTTCATTGTATCATCATTTGACCATTTTCTTGTTTAGAGGGTGAGGGCGTTTCTCCTTTTCTCTTTCCCACCTTTTTTTCCTCTGTTTTCCAAGACAACTTTTATCAAAACTAAATAAAAGAGAAAATGACAAAATAACTATTAAATTTTAAAATGATAAATAAGTGATTTTGACAGATTTTGAAATCTATTACAAGAGTAGTCAAAGTCATTCCAAGAATAGTCAGTATGACCTATTTATCTTTTCAAAATTTAATAGGTGTTTTTCTGTTATTTTTCCTAAACAACAAAATACATAGTTAAGTGGGTCTCTGCATAGTGGTATTAATTACATGACAGAATAAGAAGGCCCAATAAACTGCGTATAAAACATTCCAGAAATAAAAGAAAAACTAAAGACCAAATGGAGTAAAGATGAGTTGACAACAAAGGTTGATCTAGTTTAATACTCCTTCTGGTTCAAAATATAAACTAAATTTTGTTAGAGAGATTTGATTTTTTTTTTATAAGATAACATTTACTTTTGTCTAAGTATTAATGAGTTTTTTCCAATTTTATCCCCATACATTCTCTTTCCTCTTTGATTCATTTGTTACATTATTCTTTTCATTAATAAGGGCATATCCAAAAAAAAAAACATGGCTTACATATTTATTGTTTCAAATTAATTTTAACTAGCTTCTTGATAAACGTAAATAGATAACGTTTAGCTTATATTTTGAACCGAAGGGAGTAAAGAGTTGGCTCATAACCCATAGAGTCATGAGTTCAAATTCCGTTGTTGATGTGAGGCTCTTGTTAGTAGGCAGTCTATAAGTATCTTCATACACTCACAAAAAACTAGTTGCCTCCCCATGACTCACCATAGTTCGTGCAAATGGAAGATGACGACCCTGAAAAATGAAAAAACCACAACAGCAAAATAAAATCACCCAAGAAAAACAGCCATGCTTAAGCAAGAAACACAACAACTGAACTGAAAATAGAACAGAACCAAAAAAACAAAAAAGCAAACTAAAGAGTAACACCAAGATGTATAAGCTCTTCTATTTAGAATCAGAATGAGTTGTTAATAATTCAATATAATGAAACTTTTGGGGATTATACAACATATACATTTTGGTGTTTCTATTGTCTCACCTCTTTCTAATACTCCTTATAATACCCCAACCTCTTGGTTATTCTTTTTCTTTTAATCATTATATTTTACATAAAATTATAGATGCTCAAGCTAAGTATGGTTATTATAGATCTCACGCGCCTATGTTTCAATAGATCTACAAAGTAGTTAGCTAAATGACGGCAAGACAGAGAGATTCAACACAACAACAAGAAGCTAGCTAGCAGAAATTTTGCAGAATTCTTCTGTACGAAAAAAATAAAACCATAAAAGTTCCAGAAAATGCTGGTAATTATAAAACTGGAGATCAATGGGATCAAGCAATGCAAGTGGATTATGAAAAAAGAGAATACGCCATGAGATAGTTTTCGCTTTCATTTAGTCAGCTGGAGCTCATTAATTACAAGAGATTACTTGGTTAATTAGGAGATTCCTTTAGTTATTTGAGGAATGTTACAGTGAGGATACTTAAAAAAATTAATTTGCTTTAGATTAAAAAAAATCTTATCAATATAAATAGCTTGAGAAAGGTACTTATCAATCACCTGATCACGCACAGCTAACAGAATGACATAACATGAAAACTACTCTTCACAGTCACGTCATATGATAATCTGAGTTCCTAATAATTAATACAGTACTCTATCCGATTGGACTTCCCAATAATTTATATATTTACTCTATCCAATTCTAAAATATACTTAACTTGAGTAGGACTGATCTGACCTTGGTTCAATCATGATCTAACTATCAATCCTTAAGTCAATGTCTCCATCTGCTGTAATCGAGTTCGACTTTTAATATCTTGTGATTAAGTTTCAAAAATTGCTGCTAGTACTAATGCTACTTCAGCTTAAATATGAATTTTGGTCCTAAGAATATAATTAAGTAGAACTGGGCTATAATGGTTTTCATGGGTGGAGCTCAAAACATGGAATCGTGTACAAAACACAACAAAGAAATGAAAGGCCCCCACCCCAAAAAAAAAAAAAAAAGAGGAAGAAAAATATGCCCTGTACTCGAGAAATTGAAATGTAATAGGAAACGGTTCAATAAAAGTTAAAATAGCCAATAATTCAATTATTTATGAGGTTGCTACAATGTCGTGTGTTGACTAATTTAATGATCCAACTAATTTCGTAACATTATATGTTATCCTACTAATATGTTTTGAAAAGAAAAATAGTTATGCCAAGTTTCTAATATTTATTATGTTGAATTTTTCGATCACACATCACCATGTGTTTTATATTGGAAAGTTTAATATAATGGATATAAGGAATTTAAGGCAAGTGTTTTTGGAAATGTATTTTCTCACACACACATATATATATTGGCCTGACAATTCATATCATCACTCCAACTATTTATATAAAAAAAACAAAACAAAGTTTTGATAAAACAAAATGTTAATATACAATAATGAAAAACTAAATGAGAGACTGATTTAAATAATAATAATTAAAAAATCACCACCACTCTCCAAAGTCAACGATTAAGTCACAATAATCAGAATTGTGGTTTGACCTGAAATTATTAGATCGACAGCTGAACCAGTGATTATAAGGATATGTATAGGGATGTTGTGGCGTCATCTCCCAGCAATTATATAAGACAAAGAAAGAATGATCATCACGTAAAGAGAGCTTTACATCTAAATGAGGCTGAATCGTCCTTCTGCAAGAATCATGAGAGAGTGCAATTAGTGATTTGAGGATTGAAAGCTGAGGAATGCTGCAATCTGCATTATTATTTCCAATAATAATATCACTCTCTTTTAATGTCAGTCTCGTCAATAATGACCAGCGAGTGATGTTGTTGGGAACCCTTATAGCACTGATGTGACAACCATATTCCATTAACTCATTACCATCATCATCCTCTTCTTCATCTTCCATTAATGTCGTCGCGATCACTATATAGCCGTTATCAGTAATCATTTTTCTTCTTAATGGCCCCATCATCACACCCCTTTCTCCTCTGTCACCTCTCAGCTTCAAATAAAGCGAAAAGTCAGGGGCGAAAAGATTATAACGGGAAGAATAAGCAACATCGTATGCATGGTGTTGCTTGAAATCATCCCCATACTCAATTGGACTCTCTAACCATTCAAGTTTCCTCACAAATGGAAGTAAAGACGCCACACTTCGTATCCCCATCCTCAATTCTGCTATCTCTGCCAATGGCATTACCACATGTTTGTATCGAACACCAGAGATGATCTTGCCACATACGAACAGCTTCATTGTCACTTTATGGAATGACAAACTAGGAAGATCCAAATAATTGTACACAATCACTAACCCTGAACTTGTTCCTTTAATACTGCCCCCAAAGTTTATCTGCACTGGCCCACTATCATCTATGCCTAATCGGACATTCTTTTCCAGGGCAGTTGAAGAATGGATTAGACGTAAATTCACACAACCCTCAAGATCCATGACTTCAATCTTAGGGGCCTGAGACAGATCTGGGAGTGCACTGAGATTTTTTGAATCGGACAGATTGATTTGCTTCAGATTTGGAAAATGCTGGAAAAAAAGCAGATAGTGTTAAATAAATTAGATAACTACACGTACGTACAATTTAATCAAGAATTTCTCGCCTGCCAATTACAAGATCAATGGAACAAGTTAAAATGAGCATCCAAAGCTCATCTCATCAGGACAATCCAAATTTAATTTCTTTTTCATTTTTATTTTTTTAAAATAAATATTTTAATGGGTATAGAAAATATTTTAACTATCACTTTTTTAATAAATAATTTTTGTTTTTTAAAAATAATTAATTCAAAATATTAAATCAGGATCGTACAAATTAGATCTAAACAGTCTAGAGAAGATGAGCTTTGGATGCTCCAAACCGGTTCTAAGATCAATTGGATATTCCCAACAAAAAGTACAACCAGTATATTTAACAATCAATTTATAGGGCGCAAAATTGTCAAGCATTTGGTCAATATTTGATGCGAGATCTTACAATCAGACAAGAACAAAATAATTAAGACACGTGAAAAATGATAGGTACCTGATTTTCACCCCAAAGTTGTCGGATATTACTATTACGCATCTCAAGTGTCAGAAGATTCTCAGCACAGAAATGCAATGGGACATATGGCAATGGATATTCTTCCCAACTAACAAAACGTAATTCTTCTGGAAGATAATCCATATCTTCACAAATATTCAACTTTGAAGGCTTTCTATGATCAGACTTGTAAACTTTAAGGAATATCAAATTATGCATCTTTCGAAAATTATTAGCCCTCAATGTAATCCTTTTTATCTTGCTTGCATCCAATGACATGCATCGAATTGCCTCGGTCCCCTAGTAATAGAAAATCAAGGGACGAAGCAGAATTATCATTGGCCTAAATTAAAAAATGATCAAAAATACTGTAGAACAATTAAATATTCTACTCTTCGAAACATCCAACTTAATAACGATATTATGTGTATTTTATTCCGGAATTCTTACAATTCTATGTTTTCCTGGTGAATTTCTCAAAAATCATAAACATACTTACACTTTATAGCATGGAACCACCTTATAGCCTCGCCTTAATATACACTTTGTTTGTTTTCATTTTTCATACACTTTGGTGATAGCATGCACACGCAGGCGTGTGGATATACACACTTAAACTACTCCAATTAATCAGTAAGAAAAATCAGTCTTGTGAGGATATATTTCATTTATCAGTTCATGAAAATCCTTTGTAGACCAATTTTATCATTTAAAATAACACATGTTACAATAGTCCTAATTTATATTTAAAGTTTGGATAGATGATCGAATAGATTATATTACATCCCAATGCAACTTCAGTCATTTAAATCGAGAAAGATTTTCTTATGGGAATATTCTAATCAGAGAAAATAAAACAGAAGAACTTCAAGATAAATGTTGACACTTGCCACCAAAGATTTTAAAAGAGTAAAAAGCATGATATATGAATATGACAATTGGGACGATAAAGAAAATGAGATAAAATAATAATAAACATAATAATTAAATATATCCTTACCTTGTCAGAAATGAAAAAATCATAAATGTCCTCGTGCCTCCATAGTCGAATAGCAGTTTTACGTCTAGAGTATAATTGTTGGCTAGAAATTTCAAGGCCCATTTCTCTGACAAGATCGTGCATCACAATGAAATCATTATGATTATTAAATGAAATGAGGGATTTCTCTTTAAGAACACTCATCTCAATGTGCACAGAAGAGCCATATAACTGTGTTATTAGATTCAAAGAAATATAAACCCTTTCCTTGATTAAGAATGTTAGGTCAAGAAACAGATTTTGTTGTTTGTCATCAAGTCCATCTAAACTTAACTTCAAAACATCAACGATGTCCTTGGGTGGAGCTTGATTTATTTTTTCCAAAGCACTTTTCCACTCTTCTTTCCCTCTGCCGTAGAGAAAGCAACCTAGTACTACCAAGGCTAATGGATTTCCTTGACAATATTTCACTATTGATTTTGATAACTCCAGATGATCCTTAGACGGCTCAATTCGTTTGAATGCTTTCAAACTAAAGAGATGAAAGGCATCATCAAAATCTAAATCCGGAACATGATATGTTGAAAATGCAGAAGCATTCTTAAGCACTTGCATGTCTCTTGATGTGATAATAATTCTACTTCCTTCCCCAAACCAATCACACACTTTGCTTAAATTGTCAGCTATTTTTGAATTGTCCACATCATCAAGTATAAGAAGAATCTTTTTGCGTCGAAGCCTACTTTTCACAAAAGTAGATTTTATGTCATAGATACTAATGTCCTCATCTTCTAATAATTCTCTGAGGCAATTTTTCTGTAGCTCATCCAAACTAATTCTTTTTAATTGCTCTTTGACATTTTCAATAAAGGAGAAAGCATCAAATTGAGCTTTTAACTCTTGAAATATGGCTTTAGCAAGTGTAGTCTTACCAACACCACCCATGCCCCATATTCCTACAATGCCAGCCTTTGGTAGAAGTTTTTCAATATTTTCAATATGACCAGCAATGCCAACAAGTCTTTCAAGATGAGATGATGAATTGTACCTTAACTTGCTCAAAGTGTCTCTAACAATCTCTTCAACAAGTTTGAATTCAGGTCTAGCAAATATGTTAAACAAGAAAAAAGGAATATTTAATAGGTAGAAAATTAAAAAAAAAACTACAATAATTTGTTAGAATGTTAGAATTAATTAAATAAATCTCCAAAACCAACACAAAGGGAACATTTTCGAAGCTACCTGGTAGCATTGGAATGCCATCCAGAGAGACTTGTAGATTGGATTAAAGCATTTCTCCACTTTTGCAATTTTGTTGGCTGTCTTTAAATCTTTGCTTCAACACATCAAATCCATTTCCAAAACTCCCATTTTGTTTGCGTATGTGTGAAGGGTCAATGTTATAGAAGATAGGTATCACAACCCTTCCAAAGTTTTTCTTGCATTCTAATATGTGAACAAGCTCATCCATACACCATCTCGAAGAAGAATAATTCTCAGAGAAAATAATCATAGATATTTGAGATTCTTCTATTGTTCTCAAAAGAACTGGTGAGATTTGTTCTCCTTTGCGGAGTTCATGATCCATAAAAGTGTGAATGCCTGCATTATGAAGTCCTCTGTAGAGATGACTTGCAAAAGTGTGGCGAGTGTCTTCTCCTCTAAAACTGAGGAACACATCATACTTGGTAGCAGGAGGGGAAACCGTTTGAGTTAAAATCACATCATCTTTAAAACTACAGATGGAAACGAACCGTGAACAAATATTCGGTTGTAGCTTAGGAAAAAATCAAACAAGAAAATAGAGTTTGATGAAGTTATTTAGAAGAAGCTAGCTACCTATCATCAACAGCATCAGGTTGGCTACCATAAAGCGAAGGAGAGATGTATCTGATAGCTTGGGAAATTGATAAAGCCAATAGGATCAACAAAGCTTCTATGAGGGTTAAAGCAATGGTTCCATCCATGTGATAGCAATTTCTAGCTTCAACCTTCAGTAACCTGAAACTACCAAAAAGTTGATTAGATCTGTGCCAGTTGATTAGATCTATGCCAGTAAGGTAGCCAGAGGCGGGACTCGACACCAGAAGGAAGAAGAAAATGACAAAATTTTTTGCAGAATTTTTCCTGTGAAAAGAAAATAATTGCAAAAAAGTATATCAATGGGAAGAAGCAAGTGGAAGAGAAAAAGAAAAGAATATAATGGGTAGTATTAACCTGGCGGATGTGGTGGGAAGCAAAAGAAGGTAGCCCACAAGCTCTCAAAAATGTCAGCTTCAAGCTTTGCAGACTTCCTCCACTTCAAACAAGTTCTTCAGATATACCCATTAATAAAAATATATTGTTGAATGATAATTATTATATTTGTTATGAATATGAATTTATTAAAAAGTACAGAGAGTAGCATTTTTCACTGCATCTATTTTTTTCCCCGTCTTCTGCTTCATTTCACAACAAAATGCGAGCATCATGAGTAACGATAATTACAGATTCGGTTTTTTATTTTTTAAATTAAAATATTGTTCGAAGTTTTGTAAATAAGAAATCATTATACGATAACTTCCTTTCATTCGTAACCCGCCAATAAAGATCAAACGCCTATAAATTTGTAACATGCGCGCTAACATATACTATCTTCGCTCCTACGAACTAGATCTTCTAATTAGAATAATGTTAGATTGTTATCTGAACATGAAATGCGTAGATGAACGAAACCAACATCGTGAAAATGAAAATGCCTGTTGAATTATAAGAACTTAACAGTACGGAAAAGGACATGAAAATAGGCTTGTTTGATTTTATTCTTTATGTTTCTAGAACAATTTTGTACAGTAATTTTTTTACAACATACTTTAAAATAAAAAATTAAAAAATTGTTTGGATCATTATTTTAAAAACAAGTCACATAGTTTTTGAGCAATATACAACATATATAGAAATATAGTTTTCAAACCTGAAGTGTTTGATTTTTCTGGCAAAAAAAAAATCTAGTTTGATTTATTTTTTATTTGGGTTAAACAACATTTTTGTTCCAGGGATTTTCACAAATTTTCCAAAAGAGTTGAGTACTCGAAAAAAATTTTCCCCCCAACAATACTGTGCTGAAAGTAGTAAACCGTAGAAATCTAATAGGAGAATTACTAATAATTTTAATAATAAATGAGCAGTTCTTATTTCTTATACTAAAATTGTTATTATTTTATAGTTACTAAAATTTTTAAATAATTATATTCCTTTTCCTGTACTTTGCGACAAGTTTTCCAATGTCAGTCTTACCCAAATACCCAAACAGATGCAAAGGGACAAAAATGCTGAGTTGACTCTCTCTCATAGCATGCCACATGTATTTCACATATTATGCCACGTAATAAATATAAAATACAAACGTGCCATCAAAGAGCCACCCAATGAGATCGTCGTGGCAAGATAAGAATGGAGTTTGAATTAAACCACTTTCAGTATTCATCATCTCCGATGAAATCTTAAATTAATCAGATTTAGATAATTTATAATTAATTTACCATTCTAAATTTAATATCTTTAATTAATTCTTTTTAAATAAAAAATTATTTTT